TCTATCTATCTATCTATCTATCTATCTATCTATCTATCTATCTATCTATGTCACTAATTCATTCTGTTTAATGCTTGTTTTATTAATTGTTTATAGCCAAAATTTGAAATGGGTTTACCTGCTGATAGTATAAACATGGGACATGCTTTCAGCACAAGAACTGCACTGTAGTGGGAATATTATATCTGTAATACCCTTCCTGGTTTCTAAAGCAACATTGCTTGCCCATCCATTGTTACCAATATGGAGACAATTTTGTTTGCAGAGCCTTTATTCTCAATGCTCTGTTGACACAGATTGAATTCTTAAGAATGATGCATAATATAAGTTCCCATCCATTAAACATGGAAACATTTTTTTAATTATCTGAAAGGATGTCATGCATATAGAAATGTTTTATGAAAATACATCATAAAAGAGACTTCAGCTTTTAATTTTGCTTAAGTATACATTCAAAGGGAGACTTTTTTTTCTGCTTGTAGGCTGACATTGCACCACTGATGGCTTCCCTTGTTGGAGTTCCTTTTCCTCTGAATTCAGTGGTAAGTTAATATGCTATTTCTCTTCTCAATGGAAAATGACCAGTGTTGAAATTTCTCTATAGACCAGGTTCACATTTTACATGAAACCACGGTTTGTTTAATCACATTATTAAATGAACCACAAATGGCTGGATATATACAAAATCATGACCTTGCTTCCAGTAAGGGTCAGGTTCCCTCATGGACAGATTGGTGAACACTATTGTGTCCTTCTCACCTGGGTGATTTCTCTCCCCTCACCCAGTCCCTCCTTAGATTCTTCCTTTTAATTAAACTTATATCAAAATAAATAGATGTGCAAAGATTAACTTCAAAATATACAAAGTGCCATCACTGAACAACAGTATAGAGAAACTGTCTCTAGCTCTTCATAGATTACAAGTGCTTACCAGTATGGTTTTTGAATGGCAATGTATGTGTTAATGTGAAATCTGCATAGTGATGGTTTCTTTTTTAAGGTATTAAAGTATTTTTTTATAAGACTAGGCAACCTAGACATGTTTAACTATTTTTTCTCCTGTAGAAGTGAATGTTAATCACAAAATATTTTAGAAGAAAGTGAGAGAGAGAGAGAGACCCCATTCTTTTAGATAGAGCAAGTTTTTGCTAACTGCAGTCAATTTTTACTCCTTCCATTGAATATAGTTTAAGCCATTCTCTCATAAGAGAAACTGTTATCTATTTTGGGGGGGAAGCTCTGTGGGATTACTGTTCATAATAACCCTGCCAATTTTCAGTCTCATCCAGTCTTACTCATCCAGTTTCATCTTTGTTGCCATATCTTTGGATCTTTTACTTATTGGTTAACTTCAGGGGTAGGATTCTACCGGTTCGGTCTGGTTCGGGTGAACCGGTAGCTCCGACGATCAGCTGTGAGCAAACTGGTTTGCTCCGATCATCAGCTGTTGGGCCCACCCTCCCACCCCGGTTCTAGTCTGTACTTTATTTCTGGGTTTTCCATCTTAGCTGATTCGCGTGGCACAGTGGATTGCTGCGTGTCACCTATTTAACACACAGAGCTTGCAGCAGAAGGTGAGTTGCAAATGCTGTGCATGCTCACTGAACCGGTTGTTACACTGGTTGAATCCCACCCCTGGTTAACTTGAATACTGTTTCTGGGAGCAAGAAATTTAGAAGAAATATTCTGTGATGTAATAGGAAAAGTGTTGAACCAGGGCTAGGAAGAGCCAAGTTCAAGTCTTCTCTTGGCTATAGAAACTCACTGAGTGATTACATGATTATCTATGTAATCTACTTCATAGGATTGTTGTTTTAGGGGGAAGAGAAGACTTTAGAGAAGCAGGTATAAATTTAACGGATAAATAAAAAATAATCCATACTTTTGGGAGAAATTATACATTTGAAAAGTTGGTTTATATTATCTTTAGGGAAGAAGCCTTAGTCATACTCATACTTTAATCTATGTGTGCTTGGAAAAATGTATTTTATTGGGGGTTCAGATAATTGTTACTTTGTGTGAGTGAGTGTGTGTGTGTGTGTGTGTGAGAGAGAGAGAGAGAGAGAGAGAGAGAGATTAATAATTCATTTGATAATTGAATCACTTCTTCAATTCACAGTCACCCTCTTTATGACTTCATAGCAGCTGACTCATGAAATTATAATCCCGCATGAAATGAACTGAAATGTCTAATGTTCCACTTTATAGAATGGAGCCCTGAAATTGTGTTTTCAATTTTTAATAAGCAAAACACTTGCCTAATAATTGTCATATCTATCATCCAACCTTTATAAGGAGAAGTCAGGTTAAAATATTGTGAATGAATACACCACCTCTGAGAGAAGAGAACTTCATTTGTAAACCAAGATGCTTCTATCTGATATGCAAGATGACTCTCTCTCTCACACACAATGGGCTAGCTAAACCCATTTATTTTTTGGAAGTTATCTAAAGGGGTCAGTCTTACATAGCGTTCTGTGGACAATTTTTCTTTTCTTCAATGTGCATAAAGGGTCCCGTTTCAAAGCTGACATTTATGCTACTATTAGTAGAAGGTGTGTACTGATTCATTGTGAATAATACTGTTCTCTAATTCTGAAGGTACTGTTTTACTTTATGTACTGTAAGATGTCATAGTTCTTAGTAAAAATGCTTGCTTTTCTGGGCCTGGATTATGCTGCTAAATATTAATTCTGTTTTTTGGCCCCCTCAGGGTGTTTTACCTCTTGGATACTTGAATAATACTGCCCAATTTAAGGCAGAGAGCATGCTTACCAACGCTGTCCAGATTCTTGAACAATTTAAGGTACGTAAGCTATTGCTGAAATGTGTAAACTGCACATTCATATGAATATTTCCAGTAGAAAAATCAGATTGTCATAGTAGAAATAGAAACAACATAGGAAGTTGTACTCTATACTTACAATTTAGTATGATAGTAGGATTGTTGCTAAATAAAAAACAGTAGTATTATGGGGAAAAAAACCTAGCTTAAATCCTTAAACTCTTTTTTTACTGGGACAGCCAATATTTTCCATTGTCTTAAAAAAATCTAAATGTTTCAAGGAACTTGTTAATTAAAACATAGAATTTAATTTCTATGGGTCGAACTTCCATAACTGATATGAATTGATGTCATTGAAGGCGGTGCATTTTAATCAAGGTGTAGAATTGCTCCTATAATTCAATTCTGATGTTATTAGGACTGGCATACTTCCTATTCCAACCACTAGAAGATGATTTAAGAGTTGAGATTTAAATTTTGGTTGTCACTATTTATTGCTTCGCGTTACACAAAATTGAGGTTAGATCTTTAAGCTGCTTGACAGCAGGATACTTCAAGGACAATAGGTTCCTCCAGTGTGAAGATCTAGTAATTAATATTATCGTGGAAGCCTTGTCTGAAATCAGGAAATAAATCCTAAGTCAGTTTTGGAAATCATTCCCTAAAGACGGTTGCCTTGCTCCCTCTTAATTGCTTTTTATTCACATTGCAAAGACTTTAATTTTGAGAAGGGTTTGGGGGAATAAATTGTTCTTTGTGAACCACTTTTACTATTGCTAACCTCGATCTTTAAGATATATGTTACTAATTTATTAATTTTTAATTATTTTGACATATAAATGGCATAGTTATTTAACTTAGCTATGATTAGTAGTCAGTTAGTTAGAACAAAATGAAGACCATATTCTTTGTTTCAGTCATTCATTTTATACAAAACTACTTTGTTAACAATGCTGCTTGTTTTTTTTCCTGTGTGTTCAGGTTAAGATGGCTCAGAAGAAGAAAACTACATTATCATTCTTGTTTTCACCATTCAAGTAAGTACATGTTCCATTCTTAGAATATATCTTTTAAACTAGTCATAAAGGAAGGAAATGTTCTGAATATTATATTGAAACTAAGTTTCAGTCAGATAAATGAGAGTTGGACAAGATTAGTATTTGGGGGATCAAATAAATAGAACCCACAATTTAAAATCAGAGCCCTAGCTGAATTTCATTCTAGACATAATTGAAAGGGAAAGGGAAGCTATGATGCAATTTCATTCTAATTTTAATTTTAATTTGATTCTACTTGACTGATAATTATTTTGCTCAATGAACTAGATCTTTCCCAATCTTTAATGTTTAGACAAGAACAGTGAGCTTGGAGATTTTATAAACCAGTATTTAAAACAAAGTAACTACAAAACTTAACAAAAGATAGGATTTTGTTACTATTAATATATTTTTAGGATTTATACACTCCTCAAAAGTATCAGAGCTTATAATATATCTTTTTTATTTAAGTTTTATTAATTTTCTACTATTACATTTAATTAGTGCTTAATAAACATCATGTTGTCTGGGTTATTTTAGAGCTTATAGTATATCTCTATAACCCTGACAAAAAATCTTATAAATCACGGATATTTGTAGCTTAGCAATATCTGACATTCCACAAGTGGCTGTTTGTTTGTTTCCTTGATTTTAAATATGTAAATATGTATGTATGATTGAATGTATGTATGTGTGTGTGTATGTATGTATGTATGTATGTACACTGCTCAAAAAAATAAAGGGAACACAAAAATAAGACATCCTATATCTGAATGAATGAAATATTCTTATGAAATACTTTATTTATTACATAGTTGAATGTGCTGACAACAAAATCACACAAAACTTATCAATGGAAATCAAATTTAGCAACCCATGGAGGTCTGGATTTGGAGTTACACTCAAAATTAAAGTGGAAAAAAACACTACAGGCTGATCCAACTTTGATGTAATATCCTTAAAACAAGTCAAAATGAGGCTCAGTAGTGTGGGTGGCCTCCATGTGCCTTTATGACCTCCCTACAATGCCTGGGCATGCTCCTGATGAGGTGGCGGATGGTCTCCTGAGAGATCTTCTCCCACACCTGGACTAAAGCATCCCCCAACTCCTGGACAGTCTGTGGTGCAATGTGGCGTTGGTGGATGGAGCGAGGCATGATGTGCCAGATGTGCTCAGTTGGATTCAGGTCTGGGGAACAGGCGGGCCAGTCCATAGCATCAATGCCTTCGTCTTGCAGGAACTGCTGACACACTCCAGCCACATGAGGTCTAGCATTGTCTTGCATTAGGAGGAACCCAGGGCCAACCACACCAGCATATGGTCTCACAAGGGGTCTGAGGATCTCATCTTGGTACCTAATGTCAGTCAGGCTACCTTTGGCGAGCACATGGAGGGCTGTGCGGCCCCCTAAAGAAATGCCACCCCACACCATTACTGACCCACTGCCAAACCGGTCATGCTGGAGGATGTTGCAGGCAGCAGAACATTCTCCATGGCATCTCCAGACCCTGTCACGTCTGTCACATGTGCTCAGTGTGAACCTGCTTCCAAATCTGTGAAGAGCACAGGGCGCCAGTGGCGAATTTGCCAATCTTCGTGTTCTCTGGCAAATGCCAAACGTCCTGCACGGTGTTGGGCTGTAAGCACAACCCCCACCTGTGGACCCTCATACCACCCTCATGGAGTCTGTTTCTGACCATTTGAGCAGCCACATGCACATTTGTCACCAGCTGGAGGTCATTTTGCAGGGCTCTGGCAGTGCTCCTCCTGTCCCTCCTTGCACAAAGGCGGAGGTAGCGGTCCTGATGCTGGGTTGTTGCTCTCCTACGGCCTCCTCCATGTCTCCTGATGTACTGGCCTGTCTCCTGGTAGCACCTCCATGCTCTGGACACTACGCTGATAGACACAGCAAACCTACTTGCCACAGCTCGCATTGATGTGCCATCCTGGATGAGCTGCACTACCTGAGCCACTTGTGTGGGTTGTAGACTCCGTCTCATGCTACCACTAGAGTGAAAGCACCGCCAGCATTCAAAAGTGACCAAACCATCAGCCAGAAAGCATAGGAACTGAGAAGTGGTCAGTGGTCACCACCTGCAGAACCACTCCTTTATTGGGGATGTCTTGCTAACTGCCTATGCTTTCCACCTGTTGTCTATTCCATTTGCACAACAGCATGTGAAATTGATTGTCAATCAGTGTTGCTACCTAAGTGGACAGTTTGATTTCACAGAAGTGTGATTGAGTTTGAGTTACATTGTGTTGTTTAAGTGTTCCCTTTATTTTTTTGAGCAGTGTATTTATTAATTAAATTTATAAGCTGCCCATCTTACCTGCAAGGTAACGCTGAGAGTCTTATAATCATTTAATGGAGAACAATATTTCACTATGGTATTTCAGAGACAATAACTTGTTATTTGATAAGAGATGAGAATTTCCCTAACTTGTTGTCTCTTTCAATAACATAATTCTCTGGGCTGTAGGACTGGGAAATAAATCTTAATTATGTCTTCCCCTTGATATTTAGATAAAGAGCAAATCTTTAAATAGCCATTCATTATTTTTATTTGGAACAACCAATGGCTTAATTCATTTTTCTGTATCCTTTGCCTTTGCCACATAGCCAGGTGAATATTTGTTCTAAAAAGAAATATATGTAATGGCTGAAGACATTACAGACCACATTTTCCTTCCTCTAGATCTTAATTGAACCCCAAATAAATTTAATTTAAATGTAAAATAGAGAAATATGCAAGTAGATCTACTGTTTTTCTTCTGAATCTTAAAAAAAATATTTTTAATATCATGAGGTACTTACAGAGTTTGAATCATTATGAATTTCCTATCCAAAGAATTTCTTTTTTAATCTTTAATCTTAGGCATCTGCTCTTTTTTTGATACTGCATGTTAAATTTTAGTTTCTCCAGCACGACCACTGGAGAATCCATGGATGAGTTGACACATGCCTTTCTGCCCAGAGACTGAGTCCATAATCTTTGCCATACTCCTTGTCAACTGTCACTTTACCCAGTTCATGACTCAGTCTTGCCCTAGGAGGTTGTGGCAAAGATTGGCTCGTAGTTCTCCGGATAGAAACGCTGCTATTTATTGTAATTTATGAATATTCATGCATATGCATGTATGCCTATTCCTTTTGCTACCTAAAATGCTAAACTGTGGTTGAAAGTTAACTACAACAGAATCTATTTTAATTTCTAAAATGATCTACTTATTTAAAATTTCAATGCACAACATTTAAAATACTTTGAACTGGGAAAACTTAATACATCTTTAGATGTAAATGTGAATCATCCAGATAAAATATAATACAGGCCTTATAATATTGTCACGTGAAACCGCATGAAGCCATGTGGCTTAATCCTAAAAAACCAAACATACAAAAAATTTAAAATAGCAAACAATAGCAAGAAATTCTGCTGTCAAATTCATTGTAGTAGCAAATTGTTTGCAATTATGGGCATGCAAATGTAGAAATAATGCATCTAAAAATAGTGATGGCAGACATAGATCGGATGAAATTTCTTGAGTTTATCATAATGATATATTTTATTGCAGATTTGAGTTCTGGACTATAAAGATTTTTTTCTAATAGAAGACAATTATGTAATAGAAATAATAATAATTTTATCAGTTATGCTCTTCATAGGAATCCATGGCATCTCATAAGGGACAATTTACAAAGCATTGCACAACTAACACTGTTGTTTAATCTTGTAATTAATTGTCCACACATTGTAACTTATAATTTGAAAACTAAGCAGCTTCTATTCAGCAGAGTTGTTAAGCCAGTTTTAAAGGCTATGGCCATTGCATGTAAGTTCAGATGAAAGATCTGGTTAGCATTAGTTACAATGATCCAGTTTAATAATATTCATAATATTAATATATGCAATTACTAATAAGACATTCAGCTCTATAAAATAATATGCTGCATAATGTTCTGTTTTTGTAAAACTTGTAAAACTTTGTAAAACTTGATTCTTGAACAGACCCTTCAGGCTCTTTAATTTCTCCAGAAATTTTTGTTTGGGCTGTATCAAATCTCTTGCTAAAAGTACTTCAGAGATATTTCAATTTTTGATTAAAAGTAATTATTGATAAATATGTATTTACTAGAAACTGATTTATCAGTAAAAATACTGCAAACTGGTTCAACTGATTGCTTTTAAAAGAATATAGTGGTGCTATTTATTCCCTCTTTCCCAAAAGAGTAATCAAACTGATATATTAAAATATTCTGTCTTGCACAGGTCTCTCTCTGAATCAGAGCAAATTGATATTCTGAGAAAAACAAGGATATCTATTCATCATGAGAAATATGAGGAATCTGTAAGTAACTCCTATTAGAACCTATTTCCTTTGGATTTATGTATGATAATTTTAAAATATATTTGTTATATTTATAGCTTTATGATGCTACTGTTTTTCTTTTTGGTCCATTATCTAATGGTGTAATTATACTTTTCTAATATGTGAGCATACATTTGAATCTCATCTCAGATAGTCTTATAAAAGCATCTGTCCTTCATTCTGAAAAGCTTTGCCCCTTAAATTCTATTGCCCCTAACACAGAATTACAATAGTGTAATTGTGTGTTTAGAGCAATAGAATTTAATTGGCTACACTCTGAATCTGTCCTAGTAGGTCTTCTTTAACATTTATAAGAATTCCCCTTGACTTGTTATGGATAGTCTTTGTTTAGTGACCACAATTTGGACTGACAATTCAGTGGTTAAGCGAAACAGTTTTCATTTACAGTAAATCTTGCGGTATGCAAAAATAAATCAAGGATAATGCAGGCGATTAAAGCAATATTAAAGATCCAACAAAATCATGCTCATGGAGAAGAATTCCTGTATACCAATCTCTTGCAGCTAAAATTAAAATGTTTGTTTGCTGTTTTTTTTCTTTTTTCTTTTTCAGATATCCCTTTGTAGAAAGCTGATTAATCTTGCTTTAGATGGGCTCTCTTATTACCATACGTATGACAGATTTTTCCTTGGCTTGAGTATCACCATGGGTTTTGTAGGCTGGACATTTTATGTGATTCTGATTATAATAAAGTCAGATACAAGCATGACCAGGGGTATAACAAAAAATAAGGTACATTTTTGATTTGCCTTGCATATTAGATTATTGCATAAATGAATCTATTTTGTCTACAAAAATTTAGCACTGGAATTTTTGGCACATGCCTTCATTATAGAAAAACCTATAAAATGTTTTTTAAAATGGAAATTTTGGAAAGAAGTTCCTTTTTAGGTTTCCTTAAAATATATTGCGAATTGGATTACATTTTGTAACCTACTGAATATTTAGATCAGACATGGGAAATCTCCAGAGATTGCTGAATTACAGCTCACAACAATCTTGTTATACTGTCCATAGTTCAACATTTGGATGGCTACAGAGGGTCATCACCATCATTGCTTCGGGGACAAAACTGTATTTATAAAAAAATATCCAAAAAGAATTTCATTAATTCTGATGAAAATATATGTTTTGAATACGAGTGTCCACATGTGAGCATGTATTTGATAGCCCCCTTTACTTGAGGAGTTTAGGGATAAATTTATGTTTGTATTAGTGGAAGAACTTTACTCTTATTTCTGTATGGTGGAAGTAAACAGATTTTGCTATGGAAAAGACCTTGCAGAGAAAATAATATTGGTGAATCTTCTGATTTGCATCTAAGAGCAGGTAGATAAATGGTAACTGGGGCCTGCTGCCAAAAAATAATGGTCCTAGCATGGACTACACTGAGATGCTTTTAATATTTGCTGTATATTGCAAACCCTGGTGAATATTTGGAGATGTTTAAATAGATATTTACAGTGTTACAATAATCAAATAATATTAACATTTCTATTTGCAGGTGCCTGATAAGTTTTTCCAATATGGGTTTGCAGCTATTGGAGTTTTGATAGCCTTGTTTCTCTTCATTCAAAGCTTGCCTTGGACCTACTACATATATTGCCTATTACCAGTCCCTGTATGGTATGCAGTTTTAAAAGAGTAAGGTTTTAAAAATAAATTAATGTCTGTCTCTCTCTGTTTCTGTCTGTCTCTCCGTCCCTCCTGTATATGTTTGTGTATGTTTATTTATTTTATTTATTTATTTATTTGATTTGCCAATTGTTTACAAGATAATAAGTATAAGTGTATACATAGTTGTGAATACATGAAATGGGTACATATAAGAAAAATAAAAGAAGAATAAGAGAAACAATAGGACAGGGACGGTAGGCACGTTGGTGCGCTTATGCACGCCCCCTACAGACCTCTTAGGAAAGGGGTGAGGTCAATAGTAGACAGTCTAAGGTTAAAGTTTTTGGGGTTTGGGGAAGAAACTACAGAGTCGGGTAGAGTATTCCAGACATTGACCACTCTATTGCTGAAGTCGTATTTCCTGCAATCAAGTTTGGCGCGGTTAACTTTGAGTTTGTATCTATTGTGTGCTCTTGTGTTGTTATGGTTGAAGCTGAAGTATTCATTGACAGGTAGGACATTGCAATGTATGATTTTATATACCATGCTTAAATCAGACCGAAGACGGCGTAATTCAAGGTTTTCTAGTTCTAGAATTTCAAGTCTGGTGGCATAAGGTATTCTACAACGAGTAGAGGAGTGGAGAACTCTTCTTGTGAAATATTTCTGGACTTTCTCAATTGTGCTAATATCAGATACGTAATGTGTGTGTGTGTGTGTAAGTGTGTGTAAAGGGGGAGAATGTATCCATGTTCCTGGATTTGAAGCTATTTGGGTTTTCTCATTTCATTTAGTGCTTTTCTAAAACACTTCACATTGCTTTCTAAAGGTTACTATGTGAAATGATGGATGCCAGGGTTTCTGTGTGAGGTTTTAAAAATGCATATTTATAGTAGATTCACATGGACTTTTACTAGCAAGAAAATGAAAGAAAGGGATGGTTGACATCTGAAGTAGCAGGAAGGTAGACTGGTAGATCAACAACACCTGATCTTGAGTCTTTCAAAAGTTAGGGATGCTGATTTTACTTCAGTATGTGCAGCAAAGTAAGAGTAATTGCATTTTTTTCTAGACTCATTTTAGGAAAGAGTGTCTTTAGCGCATTCTGTGACAAGCAGACTTATTCAGTTGTGTTTCAATTTTATGAAATGTACTCTTGTGAATACTGCTGGAATATATCTGTGGTTGCCAGACAGGACATTATTCTACCACAGGGTATTTTACTATTTAAGAAACCGAACTAGTAACGAGTTCACAGTGGTGCTCTCAGATGCCATAGCACAAAGTTTGAGAGCCACTAGAGACGCTGTCAAAAAATTATTGAAACACCAGGGGGCACCATAAACCAGAAAGTTGGGAATCTTTAGCATAGATAAAGCAGATATTACTGACAGATAGCTTGAATTTAACTACTTTGGAGAAATTAGTTCATGTTTGTGTTTTAATTCAATCTTCCCAATCTAGCGACCTTTGGTTATGCTAGAATATATCATCCCTCTCAATTGGGAAATGTTGCTTCACTTTTAGTTCTTATTTTTATGTAGCTTTCGGTCTAATAAGAAATTTATTTAGCGTAATGTTTTCCTCTAGATACCCTGTTATCCATGTATTGATCAGATTTCTCTTGAATGTTCAGCGGGCTCAATTTGCTGGATTCCTAGTAATATATACCGTGGGGATTGAAATATTAGTAAGTAATTTGGCTAATAGCCTTTTAATATTATTTGTGTATAATTTTTAAAGATACTGATGATTAGAATAAAAGCACGCAGTGAAATAACAGAAGGATCAAATAAAAATATTTTTTGAGAAATTAAGAATTATGGTGAAATTTTGTATCTGAGGAGAATATCAATTCTTTACCTTATCTGTTTTTTTCTCCATTTGTATATGTTTGTGTGAATTAGGTTTTCTCCTTCTTCTATCGCTCCACTCTCACTTTTGGCCTGATTGTCTTCTCTGTGTGGCCTGTGGTCATTCGACTGTGGATCCAAGCAAAGGTATTTTCTGCATAGGGAGATTTGGTAGAACAGCTATGGCCAGTGCCCCACAGAAATGCACACTTCCATTTAAGTTCCATGAGTGTGTTATTTAAATTAAAAAGGTATCTGGAAGAGTAAATTTTTTTTAGTATTGCTAGCCATAGTTAGTTACCTTCTTTGCAAGCTAGATATACTATTTTGGAAATCTTATGCTGAAGTCTAATTTTAAGTGGCTTTCTGTGAAACAATCTATGCTTAAAGGAATCCAAATGCTAAAGATAAGTTTAAGTTAGTAATGGGTGGATGCTTCTGCAGCCATAGTCCTTGACGTGTAACAGTTCATTTAGTGACTATTTGAAGTTGCAACGGCACTTGAAAAAGTAACTTATGTTCATTCATCACACCATCATTGAAGGGTCCCCATGGTCACATGATCAAAATTCAGATGCTTGATAGCTGATTCATTTCTCCAACGAGCTGCTCTGATCCCCTTTTGCTACCTGACAAACAAAATCAGTGGGGAAGCCAGATTCACTTGAGAACTATATAACTAATTTAACAACTGCAGTGATTCACTTAACAACTGTGGCAGGAAAGGTCTTAAATTGGATCAAAATTAATTTTACTTGCTTAGCAACAGAAATTTTGGCCTCAATTGTTGTAAGTCAAAGACTACCTATACTAATACCAGGCCAGATTAAGAATAGAAAGCAGCTTGGTGTAGTGTAATAGTTTGTGTACAAATTCCTGTTTAGTTATTATCCTTATTCAGGGAACCGGGGCCACGTAGTGTCTTTCTATTTGGTGATAATATTATGCTGCATTATAGTATTAATATAAAGATAAACCTCCACTTACTATCCCAATCAGAATCAGGATCATTAAATGCACCTGTTTTTGCAACCTTTTTTTATTCAGTCATTAAGCAAATTCAACTTTTCCCATTGAATTTGCTTGATTGAAGTCCCTGGGAAGGTTTCAGTTGGTAATCACATAACCTCAGGACATTGCAATCATCATAAATATATGCTAATTGCCAAGTGTATGAATTTTGATCGTGTGACTGCAGAGAGGCTGAAACAGTCATAAGTGCAAGGACTGGATATAAGTCATTTTTTCAGCACTACTGTAATTTCGAATGATTATGAAATGAATAGTGGTAAATCGAAGATCCCCTGTACAACGGCCTAAGTTATTTGAAGAAAAAGTAAAGAGTTCTTTAAGTCAAATTCAAGTCTCAGTGACTGTGTAACTTTCTTAACAACAGATGGAAGTATAACTTTTCAAATGTTTGTTTTGACTTCCAAGTTTAAGGCCTATCATCCTGGGATTTATTTATGATTTCTTATTCAAGTGCTAATATAGCAATAGCACTTAGATTTATATACCGCTTTATAGTGCTCTGATACTGGTTTTCTTTTTTGAGGTTTTTTTTTTCGAGTTCAGCTGAAGTTAGCTTTTATCTGAACTTGTAAAACAGCGAAAAATGCAGTAAAGAAGAAAATATGGAGGGGTCCTGAAATGTAATTCAGTTTGAGACAATCATTGTGGGAGCTTCATCACTGGAGGCTTTCAAAAATAGACTGGATTGCCATTTGTCAGAAATGGTGTAGGCTCTCCTGCTTGGGTGGGTGGGGGGGGGTGGACCTATAAGATCCCTTCCAACTTGGTTAATCTGTTATCTAAATTCTGTGAAATTATTAATAGTGCAATACAACTTAGAGATATTCTGAAATAATTCTATGTCAGATCAGTAGGGAAGAGTTTAGCATATTTTGGTAGACTATACCATCTCATTTTGCACATAGCTATATCACACAGGTATTAATGGCAGTTATTTCCACATTTTGACCACCTTGTAGTATGGGTGAGAACTTACTCTTGTTATCTGGCCTGCCGAATACCCTGCCCTGCACTTTACACTACGCTATCTTACAGTGATTCTTTCAAGTAATATTGAAATTTTATATACATTCCCAAACACCAGAAATTTACATTTTGAATTCATATAGTTTTAGGCAGAAATTTATATAACTTTAGTTGAAATGTTTCCTACATACATTAATATTTAAACATTATACTTCTATTTGTATGTGTAACTTACTTGTTTTTTTACCATAGGCAACAGTGCTAAGTTGGATTCTCTCGTGTTTACTCCTGGCAATCTTTCCCTTGATGCCTGTGATAGGAAGAGAATCAAATGTCTCTTTAGTGTAAGTATGAATCAGCTTTCTTCATATTACCACATTCATGTAATCATGTTCTAATCTAATTCTTGTCTCTAGAAGGGAAATAAGTTATTGGAATGCAAGTAATTTATTCTTGAAACCCAAAATTAAAGTCACGTAATTATGATAGTGGGGAAAGAGGCAATTATTGGTATAAGTTTTTGAAGTTCTCAGATGCGAACCTCATTATCAGAATGCTTCACATTCTCTTCTTCAAAGAAGGGTATTCTAAAATAGTGTGTTTATAAAGTTATTCTTTTGGAACAATAATTCTGATGATCCTTATTCTTGTTTCAAACTGAAGATTATAATTTTCTTGTGATTTCTACTTTAGGTAGGCTATAAAAATTATAGTGTAGATCAGGGGTGTTAAACTCGCAGCGTCACATTGTCACATCACGTATTGCTATTTTCCCCCTTTGCTAAAATAGGGCTGGGCATGGCCAGCACATGACGCATCCAACCCATGGGGCACGAGTTTGACACCCATGGTGTCTTTTTTTCTCTTATTTTCGAGCTTCCCTTTTATCAGTGAAAACCAATTTTTAAAAAATGTGAACAAAAATGGATCTAGAAGTTTACACATAAGCCTCTTACATCCTCAGAACAGATGTAAAGAAGTGATGAGTCTCTAGTCACATGCTGGATCCATGCTGACCCAGAGGGCAGTTTATTTGGTTCACTTTCAGCAGCAGACTGTAATAGGATCAGATAGAAATTGAGAAATGGAAGAGAAAGAACAAGTACGAAGCAGCAAAGAAAACACCCCCGATGTTATTTTTAAATGAAAAGCATGTACTATCCTGTAAAATAGATGCAGGAAACTTAAAACTCTAAATACCATGGAAGTCTTATTAGGGATATTCCATTATCTGATCTATTATCTAGTGGTTGAAACACCAAATTAGAAAGTGGGAGATGAGAGTTCAAAGTCCTACCTTGGCCAACCATGGAAGTCAGCTGGGTGAACTTAGGCCAGTCACTCTCAGCCCAATACATTCATGGGTTTTTGTGGAGAAAATAGGAGGAGGAAGGTGTGTTAGATATGTTCACTGCCTGGAATAATTTTTAAAAATAATAAGGGTGGGATACAAATAAATAAATATAATAATGGATCTTGGTGACAGTTTTTTTAAAAAAGAGCACCAAGACTCCATTCTGAAGTAAATCTAACCTTTTTTTTAAATAAAAGTTTATTTAAGTTTTCACAAAGCATACAAATACAAAATCTTTTTTTTTGAGAACAGCATGGCCCCGGGTTATCACTTCTCCATACAGACATGAACTCAATACATATTTATCTTATACATTCTAATTCATATCTTATAACTATTTTCACAATTTTTTCAATAGCTTTTCCCTTTCTTTACTTCCTATAGCCTTATTTTAAATTATCTCATTCCTTAATTCAATTACATATCTTTTTCTAATTTTTAAAATCTTTCTAATCAATGTTTTTATACTTTCGTCTGTCCTGTTTCCAATTTCATATTATCTCTTCTCTTAAAACAAATTTTCACCTGTAATTACTAGACTACAGTATAACACCTTTGTATCTTTTTTCAAATTTAAGTTACATCATTACAGTTATAACATTCATTTTCTAACCTCTATTTTATAACACATACCTATTTTCAATCGAATTCTGCTTGGTACATTCCCTTAAAATACACACTAAATTCTTAAAAGAAAAAAATATATATGTATATAAATATCTATGTATAACGATAGTAAATGGAATAATTATTCTATTCAAGTACAGCTCTGCCATTAATATTAATAACAATCTTTTACATTTCTATTTCTTTTAACAAGCATTGCTAGTAATATCAGTTGTCTTTCACTTTAATCATGTATATTTCATATTTTATTTATTACTGTCTTTAAATAAAAAACCAAACAATAGTTATTAACGGTAGTCAATGAAGTTATTATTGTTATTCAAGTTCACCTTATCAACTGATAAAAATCTTCCATGTTTCTTTTCAGTTTTTTTAGACGTTCTTTTTAAATCATTGAGAGCCTTATTCTCTTTACAAACAAATATTCCACTACACATCAATAGAAATTTTTTCTATCACCATAATCATCTAACATATTATATAACAATGCTATCCCATGCACCTTTGCAGAATCCTTTCAAGTTAAGGTTTAACCATTGTCTCTGTGTCTTTTAACTAGGTTTATACCTTTAATTCTTGTACGTTTTTCCTGTACCTCTATATCTTGTTTCTGTCTTGTGTAGCTTCTTTTCCTTTCCCTCTTCTCTCTCTTCTTCTCCCTCCCATTTTTATTCCCTTTTCTATCTGATTCTCCCTATATGTGATCCTCCCTTCTGCTTCTTCCTGATATTATGATTATTTTTCAAATTACTCTTTTTTTTGGTTGTTGCTTCAGTACTTAAATTTTTAACTCCCTTTCCCCACTTTCCCTTTTTTACCCCACTTAAAATAGCTTGGTCATTGAAGATGGTTTCTTCGTTATCCCGCCCTTCTTGTTCTGCCAGCATTTCTTGTTGTTTTTATAGTTTAAGATCTCCATTTCTAAAAATTGAAATACGAAGCCAAAAGATCCTCCTCCATCTCGTGCTTCTTTTTGTTCTTTAAGTCTCATTTTTAACTCTTCAAGGAGTGATGCCATTTTTAAAAAATGTTAAATAACCCCCAGTTGATTTTATTTTATTTCATTAGGATCCTCCATCCAAAGTTCCAGGAATCATCCAATAATCCAAAACTGTTTCTTGCTTCTTTTCTCGCTTTCTCTTTCCAGGGGCTTTGTTCTCTTGTAACAAAGTTTCAGCTACAATGTATCTTTTGCAAGCCTTGTTAAAATTCCACTATCAATTTTTTTTTAAGTTCCAGGTGGTCTCCTCCATTTTCCAGATTCCACCCTCTTTTTTCCTTTTTCCCTCCGCTACTATCTTTCTTTCCTTTTTTTTTAAAGAAAGTTTTTAAATTATCCAAGAATCTTTATCCCTTTGACACTTTATTTTCATCTAAGAATAGCCTATTTTCATCTAAGAATAGTCAAAGTGGATTAGTATCAATTTCTTATTCAAATCTCTTCTTCTTAATGTTCCAAGTCAATTAAAACTGTCAATGTTAGAGGAAAAAAAGCCAATTCCATTTCCTTTCCCTTTCTCTTTCGCAGCTTACAATCTTTTTTAGGAATGATGTTAGTTAGTCTTTAAAATTCAAGTTTCAGGTACCTTAAATAGATGTTCTCCATTCAACCCGGTCAGTCAAACTTTCTCCTTTAAACTTCCTCCTGCACAATCTTGTCTGGTTTGGTTCTTCTTTGAGGTGGCCATTTCTGACCACCTCTGCAACCGCCTTTGGGAAAGGGAGTAATGGCCAGCCAAGGAGGAGAGATGCGGCTCTCCTCAACCCCACTGATGGCTCCCCCTTCTTCACCACCTCTACAGGGTGGCTTTAGCCCCGAATCCAGGCAGCTCGGGGCGCTCCAGCGGCGAGCACAGATCAAAATCGCAGACGATCGCGATTTCGGTCCGTCGCCGAAGAAGCCCAAACCGGAAGTCCTGAAGTAAATCCAACCTTCTTAATGTTTTTTTTAGAGTCAGTGGTTTAGAAAAGTGTTGGTCAGAGTTTTAAAAGGCATCAGCAGCAATGGAACAGTATTAGCTTTTTTTTTTAACCAAAAATAATTAACTGATTATTTAAGGGCAGCTACTAGCAATAAACCAAATGCAAATTTGAAAGCTTGCTGTATTTGTTTTTTATTTATATAGTAAACAAATTTATATGGCCACCCAACTCACACACAAATGACTCCAGGTAATATTGAATTGTGATAGGAAAGAAGATCATTCTTAATAGATTCGTCAGTTTTGAACCTTCTTTTTGACTCCTTGGAGCTTAGATTAATGTCTTATTCATGTTACATAGTTGCACTTTTGTGGTTAATTTAATTTTTTATGAAATGAATCCAACAGAAACATTTTGAAAAGCACTCACAAATAGTTTATCTTTTACAGAACAGCAGCTGGCCTGCTAATTATATTGATAGCTTTGTCCTACCTAGTGACATTTTTTCGGAGGAGCAAAAATAAATATTTGCATCATAAAGATCTCCAAATATATCTATTTCAGGTAAGTAAGTTCTATAAATGTGCATTGTTGAGAAGTATAACTTTTGTTGCTTTGAAAAATCAGCTTTTGTATATTTTTGGGTCAACATCAATTTTAACCAACTGCTTTTCAGTTATTTCAGTTACTTTTTAAATTTACATTAAAAAAAATCTGCTCACTAGTTATATGCCAGCAACTCCAAAGAACAAAATGAATTCTTCATATACTTTTATATATACTTTTAAGACTTTTATATATACTTTTATATATACTTTTAAGACATGGAATCCTTCAGAGGTACTACTCTTTAGGACAAGTGGAGAACCCTTCACCATCATGATGCTAGAATTAGGTTTAAATACAGAATCTTAGAAACAGCCAGAAGCTTCCAAACCTCATTTATTAGTAACTTCATTAAGACGGAGACTTTCAGAACAGTCTGAATCATTTCCTCCAAGTGTCTGGACTTGGACTTAATATCTTGGATAAGCTATCAGTGTGTTCCCTCCCCAAACATTGATTGCTCATGTTTAATATTCTTTTTATTATTCTCCAACCTCCCCACAGTTTCTGACACTGAGCTTTAGTCATGAATTAGTCATAGAATCAGTTTTGAAACAGGTTGGATTGAGTGTTTAGGAGAATTTATGTTGACCAATTTAATAAACTCATTATTCAAGATACCAAGCAAAACACCAATAAAATCAGTAGGGAAACTTGCCCTCAATTCCCATCATCTGCTCATGCAGACTCCCTCACACAACATTGCTGGAGTTGTGGTCTTCACTCACATGTTACCTCCAAGATAGTTCTCCCAAAGGGAGCATCACTAGCTGGGGGAGCCAGGTGTATAAACAGATTTTCTCACAAAACAGTCTGTGACTTGATGTCAAACAATCCTAGGAAAAAGGGATTTGCTAAGCTTCATCTGAAAGATTAAAACATGTCCAGTAGATGTCACTGTAAATTTAAGATAAATGAAGAAATTGAGAGAAACTAATCCAAATTAAAATATATAAAGAATTGTCATTGTGTGGTTTTAATATAGTCTTGGAATTAGATATTGGATTTTTTTCCTCACATTATTTCAATTTTTGCATCACAGTGTAAAGGTTTGAAACATTACAAAAATGTACTATTTCTTTTCTTGGAAATCATATACTTTAATCTTTAATCACCTTAGATTAGCCCAAAACAAACATTACAAAAGTGTACTATTTTTTAAAAAATTGGGAATCATATAATTTCATTTTATAAGAGCCTTGGGTTAACCCAAAATCATCCTACATGAACTCCTTATCTCCCCAGAAGGCCTCTTTGGTAAAAAATCTGATACAGGTAGTCCTTGATTTATGACCACAATTGAGCCCAAAATTTCTGTTGCTAAAGGAAACAGTTGTGAAGTGAGTTTTGCTTCCTTTCACGACCTTTCTTGCCCCAGTTGTTAAATGAATCACTGCAGTTGTTAAAATAGTAACATGGTTGTTAAGTGAATCTGGCTTTCCCCTTGACTCTGCTCTTCAGAAGGTCGCAAAAGGGGATCACATGACCCTGGGACACTGCAGCTGTCATAAACACGAGGCAGTTGCCAAGTATCTTAATTCTGATCATGTGACCATAAGATTGTTGCAAGGGTCATAAGTGTGAAAAATGTTCATAAGTTGCTTTTTTAGTGCCTCTGTAACTTTGAATGGTCAGTAAACGAATGGTTTTAACTCAAGATTAGCTGTTGTTAGGAGAGATCAGTAAGATTGTTTTTTGTCCTTATATAGATGAAACATAACTGCTTCTGTACCATTATTTTGCGGTCCCTTCTAAACACGTTAAGAAACTGGCTTTACTTTCCTATTATGCTTGGCATAACTGGTGCCAATTTATTGCACCTTTTATTTGGTTCACTCCTCTTACTTTTATGTAAGGAAATTGCTTTATAACAATGAATTATTTTAATGCTGGATTCCTTTTTTTTTATATAGAGAGAGATATAGAGAGAGATTGATTTTGCATCATGCATACACTGTTTTTAATAGAGCTAAAATACGAACATTATCCCATTTTCTTAATATTTGAGTTCAAAGTCCAAATGATCTCACATAGGAACAGTGGGAAAAATGACAGGCAGCCTGGCAACTTATTATGTCTTCTATGAACTGTCACATGATGACACATCAGGCAAAGTTCAATAAACCAACATAAAACTTGATGCCAAATAGCACTTGCTTGATGACCTCCTCGAATTACTTCTCTAATCTATAACTCTGAAATGGACTCCTATTGACAAATCTCCCTTTTAAACAAACTTCGTTGAAAGCTTCCCCCCCCTCCCCCCCAGTGCTTTTTTCTCTTTATTTATTCAGTCTGGAGGAAATCAAGCATGAAATGCAGTTATGCAAGTACAAACCAACAGTTTGCTCTGGCAGTTCCTGAATGCATTTATGGTGATATCCAAAATACAATGGGGTTATACAATATCTTAACGAATAATGTTATCAAATGAAATTTTAAGCAGTGAGTGATTTGGAAGGTTTCTCTACCACTCCCTTTGTACACAGTTTCTTTTTATTTAAATCGCCAATTGAAGTTGAATATAATTCTTACAAAAGTGCTAACATTCCAGGTTTTTCTTTTAAAGACCTAGTCTAGTCTGAATAGCCATTTTTTGCCTTGCTAGCATTCCTTAATGACTGCAATAAAGTGAAACTGTTCCGATGAGCTATTGATAATTTTATTTTTTTTATTAGTTGCTGAGTCTGGTGGCATCAACATACATTGTGAACAGTACTCATAGCAGTCTTCAGAGCAAACAAGGATTGCCTATAATAAATCAGGTTATCAGCTGGATGACATTGGGTAAGCCTACCTCTCTCGACAGAGATTATTTTGGATAAAGTTCTGTCAGGTACATATAAGAAATGCTGGTTTGCTGGTCTTTCTGCTATTGCTGCCCATGTTCTGCCATTGAAAAACATGATCTGAAGGATTATACTCTGATAAAGATTTGTAATTACATAAGTACAGGAATCCATATGCATCCTCCAATAATGCAAGCAGATTCAACACACTATGCAGAATATTTATTTTGAAGTAGATGAGAGATTGCATTAATTAGTGGTCAAGTGCTGAGTGGGTTCAACATAAGCAGCAGTGGATTAAGGGACTAAGTTTACTACTATTATTGATCCTGGAACTATATAGTAGTCGCAAAGAATTGAGAAAGCAGCTAACGAAGCATATTGGGGGCGTGAATTCCTCCGTTTAATTCTCTTATTGGAAAGAAATAGTAATTTAAGGGAAAAAAAGACACTGCATAAACTTCCAAAGAACTGCTCTAAATATGGACAAATAGTAATATATTAGTGTTGAATAAGTGCCTATCTCTTCTCGGTTATGAAGTTCACAAGCTCTCACCTAATTTTCCAGATAAGGTTGTTGCAAACAGAACAGGATTGAGGACAGCCACATGCACTATACTCTAAATCTGTTCTATTAAGTGCTGCATATAGCAATAGAGTCAGGCAGATGCTGATAGCTTATGAGCAATCCATTCATTCCTCAACAAAAGAGGATCACTAATAAACATAAAGCATTCATTCCTCAAAGTAAGGCCATGCCTTAACAATTCCCACCTGTCCACCCCCTGCACTCGAAAATTATGTGAATTTGAACTGGGGATTTTCCAAGTTTCTGTAAGCCAGCGCTTCCTGATACTTGTTCTTACATGTGATTGTAGTGCATGATGTTTCTGCTTTTGCCTGCTGCTGCCAGTTAAGGGTAGACAATCCCGATCTTCATAAAGACTCTGCAGGTCAGGCTTGTTTGTTTTGAAAGCTCATTCTTGCCACTTCAAGCTGGCTGCTGTTCTCTCTGCCCTTCCCAATGTTTGCCTTTTGTCCATCAGTTCCCTAGGAGCCAGATCTGACATTTGGAGAGTGATCAGACCTAGAAGAGGCACGTTAAGCATAAGAAGTTTCATAACAGCTATAAGCCAGGGTTGGCCTTGTGAGAGATTTGTTCTCACACTTAAACAAATACATTCCGGATTTCATCTAAAGTACAAGATCCTTATTCCTTGGGGTTGCAATTTCCTTTTCCTTGTTCTACCTGTAACTTCAGCTTTTCTTCATTCCGGCCCTACAATTTGTCAAAAACACATTTTAATGTATTCTTCCCTTCTAAGTTGCAGTCAAAAACAAAACACCCCACCCACTTAAATAGTATACATTGTTCCTTGCTGTATCTCCTTCCAGAATATTTTGCTGGATTGAACACTTGCTGAATTTTTTTTTTTTTAGTTAAAATCAGCATGCGAGCTATTTAGTGTAATGGGCAACAAGATATTTGTTGTTGCTGCTAATTGTTTTTAAGATTATATTTTTTGTATATTTTAGGTACAGGTAGTCCTTGACTTACAACAGTTTATTTAGTGACCATTCAAAGTTACAGCAGCACTGAAAAAAGTGACTTATAACTGTTGTTCACAGTTATAACCTTTGCAGCATCCCCATGATGATGTGATCAAAATTACGATGCTTTGCAACTGGTTCATATTTATGACTGTTGCTATGTCCCAAGGTCATGTGATTCCCTTTTGAGACCTTCTGACAAGCAAAGTCAATGAGGAAGCCAGATTCACTTAACAACCAAGTTACTAACTTATCAACTGCAATGATTCACTTAACAACTAATGTAAGAATGGTCATAAAATGGGGCATAACTCTCTTAGCAAATGCCTGACTTACCAACAGAAATTTTGGGCTCAATTGTGGTCGTAAGTGGAGGACTACCTCCTATTTGCTGCAGCCCAATCTGATTGTGGCCTAGCTATTAGCAGTGGTTTTTGAAATCTACCTTGAAAGAATGTTATCTTGCTTGGCTCTTCTTCCTTCAGAAATAGGAAGACTGGCTGTGGTTTCTTATCTGATCTTCGTTTTCAGAAGACTGGTTTCTTTCTGTCTAGTCCATACGAATTAAGGCAATTTTACAAATTCCAAGCCTTATAATTAATTATAGAGCCTTGGTTTAAATATGGTGTGGTGGCAATGAAGAAGAGCTAAAATTGGGCAGATCTCAGTTCTAATCTAACCCCAGCCATAGAAACTGACTGGGTTTAGGATCACCCCAGAGTTTTGGGTTGTGGGAGGTCTTTGCCTTTTGCTTATTAATTGATTCCGTATCTGGAAGGACTGATCATATTTAAAACTGTGTTTAAAATTAAATTGTTTTCTGTATCTGCAATGTGTTTATTCTTTGTATTTTCTTCCTTTTTTCGGTTTGAATTCTGAATTTTGTCATTCTTTATTTCTACATTTTAAAGGAAATAATTTTTTAAAATAAAAAATTCGGGCCATTCATTCTCCCTCAGCCTACTTTATCTCACTGGGTGGTTTTGTGAGGAAAAACAGAAGAAGGAATGCTACATATGCTGATGTGAGCTCCTGAAGAAAGTAGATAACAAATCTAAGAAAATATAATATTCACTCTGTTTTTGTAACTAAGGCTTGAGAAATAATTAATCAGCCACAGAGTGAACTCTTTGACATCTGATTCTTTCCAGTTGCACAATCCTAGTCTTTTGATGTCAGGAACCTCCCATCACCTGACTGCTTTGATCTAGGTTCTGTCCCATCTCCCTTCGAATATTGATCTTGGTGGAAACATGATCAGATGTTCTCCGTGCTGTGTGCCAAGATGAATAAAGATCTTGAAAGTTTTGTACTTCCCTCACTTACCAGCTGATATGTGGGAAAGCAGTATAAGTTCCAAGCAGAACTTATATTGAACAGAACTTTCCAGTCCACTTTGCTATCCCTTCATCCTGGTCTTTGTTTTCTTTCCATTCTACCTAGAAGAGGCAGGTGTCTTATGACTCTAGCTCATTCATTCCTCCTCTTTTTTTTTTTAATCTTCTAAGTTGTCTCCTTTTTTGTGCTTTATCCGGCATTAGAGCACAGGTTTGAAGCAAGCATTGCAGGCCTCTGTACTTTTAGTTTCCAAACTGCCTGATGCAAATGCCACTTAAAGAGGAAGAAAATGATGAACACAAATTAGCATCCCCTTCCTGATTGAAATTCAGAATGGCTGTACTCACTGCCCTTGTTTTGTTTGTGCGCAGCATGAACTATTTGCAATGCAGTTTCATCAAAAGGTATAGAAAGTGGATTTCTTCTTGCTCCTCTGTTTTTAGTCCTGTAATTTCCAGGAATGCAAATCCAAACTAGCCAATAGTTTACAGGTACATGGCTTTCAAATTTAGGATGCTGTTAAAGAGACACTAAACTATTTTTTTTTGACAGATAATATTCTATTTCTTACAGTTTCATCCTTGATAGTGCCGCTCCTGAGTCCCACTTTTCTGTTCCTGAGGCTGCTGAGCATACTTCTTTCTCTGATGTCAACTTATCTTCTCCTTAGCACTGGGTACTTTTTTCCCTTTTTTTAAAACATAAAAGATAAAGTTGCCCTTAAATTGAATTTGAGCCCTGATGATTCTATGCAACAGATGGCAGCACTTTGTTTGAACTTGGAAGCTAAGCTGGTTCAGGCTTGGTTAATATTTGGATGGAAGCCCAGCAAGAATTCTAGGCATCTTGGATAGACTGGGAAATTGTCATGGGAGAAGGCAATTGCAAACTGCTTCCATAATGTTGCAAAATAGACTACATGGATTTGTCTGTATGATGGCTGGGAATCTAATCTGATTCAAGATAATCTTTACTTGTATTCTGTATGTGTAGATTTGCTTTGGATTTGGGGAAGGTTATGCAGTTGTGAGAATTTATTGAATATTGTCACATTTGTGCAAATATATTATTTCATTTATCCTATAAGATAAATACTTCAAAGTATGTGCATTTTCAAGTTCACACTTGGAAATAACTCGAATTCCATGTCTTCCAATTATTTTAAATATAAGTGATATAAAGTATCATCACTTGGATTTGTTTACTTTTTCCCCATTCAGAACAGCTACTAGTTTTCTTCATGCTCCCTTGGTTATTCTTTCTTATACAAAAGCATGATTACATCTAGATAGAAATAAGATCAGTACCTCAGACTATTTCCTTTATATTCACTTGCTGTCAAAATATGTGCTGATGTAGGTATGAAGCTCTTTTCCCTCTGGCGTTGGCTTTGTTGATGTTTGTGTGGATAGACATGGAACAAGAAACAATCCAACAGTATGGAATTTCATTTAAACCTAAGGTAAATGATTCAGTACACACCTCAGGAAAAAATGCTGCTACCCTTTTCCCCCAGCAATTAAAATCCCAACTGACTCATGAGCCTGGGAGTGTAGCCACAGAATCCCAACCACTTTAGTGCTCATATTTTTAAAACAGAATGCAGAAACAAGAGAAGTCCAGCGGTTTCACAGACACTCATTAGCTGTGGCCAAAGAGGTGGCTAGATTTCCCAGAAGCCAGTGTGTATTTCACTAGGGCAAATCTGACTAGTTATAGTCAGAGGAAACCAGAGCTAAGTGATCTGGTAACATTAGAATGTTTTGAAAATACTCACAGTCCCCGACCATAAGCCTAGTCTTCATGAACTCATGGGAATTCTTTTGAAAAATATCTGAAGGCTATCGTCAGATGGTCCGGTCCAGGCAATATTTTTACATCCAGGCCCCATTTTTATTTATGAACACTAATGGTTGTGAGGCATTGTTGTTAATACAATTATATTCACCAGATTGAGGGAAGTTGGCATTTTGTGGGCCACTCTTAGGGTTTAATGAATGATGATAGTTCTTGCAGTCACTTACTGTATCTGTTTGCCCCTAATTTCCTCCCCATCTCTCCCAGCTACCTTATTCTGGGAGTAAAAAATGAACGCTAGAGTGCCACATACAGGTTCTATTTCCTTTTCCCAGTCCAAAGAATGATATAAATCAAACCATTCTTTTCACATCTCTAGTCTTGTCCATATAGTATGGCTATTAAGCAAGCAAATGCAGTCGTAAGCTATATTGATGGAACCATAGTATCCATGTTATAAGAAGTGATATTATTGATGAACCAATATGTTTCTCTGTGATTGATACTTAATTTATAAGCTTAAGGATTGAATTAATTTTATAGTGTTACTAAATGCACAGTATATAAATCTTTTTACTAGTTTGCTTTTTTAGTTTATTTTAATTGCTATCTTTTTTATTTCTCTATATATTATATATGTTATTTGTTTATTTTATTGATTGATTGATTTGATTTGTCAATCGCTTACAAGATACAGGTATAAGAATAAACATAGTTTTGAATACATGAGATGGATACTTATAAGAAAAATAAAAAGAAACAATAGGACAGGGACGGTAGGCATGATTGGTACGCTTATGCACGCCCCCTACAGGGCTCTTAGGAAAGGGGTGAGATCAATAGTAGACAGTCTAAGGTTAAAGTTTTTGGGGTTTGGGGAAGAAACCACAGAGTCAGGTAGAGTATTCCAGACATTGACCACTCTGTTGCTGAAGTCGTATTTTCTGCAATCAAGTTTGTTGTGGTTAACCTTGAGTTTGTATCTATTGTTTGCTCTTGTATTGTTATGATTGAAGCTGAAGTATTCATTTGCAGGTAGGACATTGCAATGTATGATTTTATATACTATATTTAGATCGGACTGAAGGCAGCGTAGTTCTAGGTTTTCTAGGTCTAGAGTTTCAAGTCTGGTGACATTCTGCAATGAGTAGAGGAGCGGAGAACTCTTCTTGTGAAATATTTCTGGACTTTCTCAATTGTGTTAATATCAGATACATGATATGGGTTACAGACTGATGAGCTGTATTTGAGTATTGGTCTAGCAAATGTTTTGTATGCTCTAGTTAGTAGTGTGATATTATCAGAGAAGAAGGTAAGTAGGATTAGATTAACAACTCTTAATGCCTTTTTGGCTATGTAGTCACATTGGGCTCTCGCACTTAGATAATTAGAGATGAGTACTCCAAGGTCCTTGACAGAGTTTGGATCCTCAACAAGGTCTTGACTATTTAGCTTGTATTTTATTTTCTGATTTTTTTTTGCCAACATGTAAGACAGGGCATTTATTTGTTGAGATTTGAAGTTGCCATTTTTTTTGACCATTCTGATACATAGTCAAGAATTTTTTGAAGGGTAGCAGTATTGTCTGTGGTATTGAACAGCTTTACATCATCAACGAAAAGAACACAGTTGCTCTTAATATGATCACAGAGGTCATTTATGTAGAGTATGAAGAGAGTTGGTCCTAGAACACTGCCTTGGGGGACATCACTATTGACAGGTACAGAATTTGATAGGACACTCCCAATTTTGACCATTTGTTGTCTGTTTGACAGGAATGTTTTTATCCAGTTATGTAGGTGTCCAGAGATACCATAAGATTTTAGTTTTAGGAGTAGTTTGTCATGTACCACTGAATCAAAGGCTTTACAGAAGTCTATGTAGATTGTGTCTATTGTTTTGCCCTGATCGAGTTGTGTAGTCCATATGTTTTTGCAGTGTAAGAGTTGCAGATTACAGGATAGGTTTTTTTTCTGAAACCAAATTGTTTATTAGAGAGTAGGTTGTTTGTCTCTAAGTGGAGGATAATGGATTGGTTAATAATTGATTCCATGACTTTACAGGTGACGCAACATAAGGAGATTGGTCTGTAATTTTCAACTAGGCTGGGGTCTCCCTTTTTGAAGATGGGGATGACCGTGGCTAGTGACAATAGTTTTGGCAAGGAGCTGGTCCTGAAAGATATTTCAAAGATTATGCTTAGAGGTTCTGCTATGGCAGTGGATAGCTTTTTTAAGAAGTAGGCACATATTCTGTCCGGTCCAATAGATAAGGGATGGTTTTAGATTACGCAGTGCTTTTTCAACAATGTCTTCTGTAAAATCGATATATATTAGGTCATTGTAGTTGTCTGTGGTTCGACTAGGAAGTACTGGGCTTGATCCTTGCTGTTTACAAATACTGAGCCAAAGAATGTGTTAAAGAGGTTTGCTTTGATGGTGTCATCCATCGTTGAAGGATTTAAAAAGTCTACAGATTGCTTGGAAGAGCTGAATATGTTTAGAAAAGAAACTATGATGGGCAACTTCAAATACATAGAAAGACATCATGTTGAAAGATAGAACAGCCTCATTTTATGTGTGTCGCTATGTAATTTAGAACTAGAATAATAAAAACTTGTTCCATAATAATCTGCTAATATCTGCCTCTTTGTCTGGAGTTATTAAAGAGAGAGGGCAATGATGTATCAGCACAATGTAGATTGCATTCTGCATTGAAGATTCTATGTTAACTGGAAATGTACAAGATGCATTTTTAAACTCCTTTCTTTATTTCTGATTCTATTTATTGAAGCCTCTGAATCCAGGGCATGTGAGAGCAGCGGGCAAAAGATGCTAGAAGCCTATCAGAGCAAAACAAGTTTAACTTTCAGTATGGATTTGGCACTGCAATATCTTTGCTCCATAAAGGTCTAGAGATACTGCTAGAAAGCAAAATCATTTTTTCTGGATTAAAAAAAAAACAAGAGAGCCAATGGATAGGTCAGAGTATTATTTCTTTTCTTAAGGCAACCAATGTACTTGACTAGTTACCAGTATTTGAAAAGTAACTTTTTGTAATAATAATTGAGATATGACAAAGTTGCAGAAGAAGAGTTTTTGTGTAGATTTTCTGAAGAATCACTCTTTAACTTTTCATTTGATCTCTGGGATATATACTTTTAATATGAATGCAGTCCTACTTGATGCTATGTTACTGATTTCTCTTTTTCTGTTTTTGCAGCTTGCTGCTCTCAGCTTTTCTTACACTACAGATACACCCCAGTTTCGACCACTTCATGTGGATGACATCAGGAGGGCTTTTTTCTTTGTATCCTTTGACATAGGAGAAAAGATACTCAGCTAGAGCAGAGTGAAGGTGATCAAATATCTAACAAAAGTATTAAGTATCTAACAAAATGAAATTCAATGTAGAGAAAAGTAAAGTCCTACACTTAGGCAAGAAAAACCAAAAGTACACATATAGACTGGGTGAAACCACGCTCAATAGCACTAACTGTGAGAGGGATCTTGGAGTCTTAGTGGACAACCAGCTAAATATGAGCCAGCAGTATGCAGCAGCAGCCAAAAAAGCTAATGCAATCCTAAATTGCATTAACAGAGGGATACAATCAAGATCATGTGACGTACTAATACCACTCTATAAAGCCTTAGTAAGACCACACCTAGAATACTACATACTACAGTTTTGGTACCACACTATAAAAAAGATGTTGAGACTTTAGAAAAAGTACAGAGAAGAGTGTTGAGGTAATTCACCGTTAGGAGAATGAGTGCATACAGGGAGACGTAGTGAGAGAAGTATTTGAATAATACACACACAGCACACAGATACCGTGTACAGTAAATGTAGGTTTTTACTTCCAAATAAACGTATAAGCAAAGTCCAAACAAGCAATCCAAGTCATTCATAGGAAAATCAGTCAGTGTTCATTTCAGGGACAATTCCAATATCAAAGTCCAGTATCAAAAACAGTTCAGTAACAGACTTACATCAAATCCAAGAATAACAGTCAAGAAGGAAAAATGGAGGAACGGCAACTCTTTCCAACAGAAGGAAACAGAGACTCACTCACTTCACTGAGACTTCCTGAGACTCTTCTGAGACCAAACAACCCAGGTTTCTGGCTCCATCTTATGGCCATTTGCGGAACCACACCCAATTACAGTTTTTGCATCCTCTTAAAAGATACAATATTAAAATGTCTATCCTGGTTTATATATTTCCCACCCAAATAGCTGTTAGGTGACTTACATTCCTAACAAAGAGCAACCAGGATGATTAGTGGACTGGAGACTAAAACATATGAAGAACAGTTACAGGAACTGGCATGGATAGTCTAGTGAAGAGAAAAACCAGGGGAGACATGATAGCAGTGTTCCAATATTTGAGGGGCTGCCACAGAGAGGAAGGGGTCAAGCTATTTTCTAAAGCGCCTGTAGGCCAGGCAAGGAATAATGGATGGAATCTGAATAAGGAGAGATATAACCTGGAAATAAGGAGAAACTTTCTGACAGTGAGAACAATCAACCAATGGAACCGCTTGTCCTCGGAAGTTGTGGGAATGCCATCACTTGAGACTTTCAAGAAGAGATTGGACTGCCATTTTGTCAGAAATGGTGTAGGGTCTCTCGCTTGGGCTGGGGAGGGTTGGACTAGATGACTACAAGGTCCCTTCCAACTCTGATTATCTGTTATTTTTTAACAGAATAATCTATTATTTTGTTTAAAAAACAGTTGCTTTTAGGAGGTTACTGCCTAAATGATTAAATGTTTTAAAGGTTATTTTGATAGACTTATTTTAGGATTGTGGTTGAATTACTATCACAAAACAGTCTGACAACAACGGCATTTTGACTTTTTCTAAGTATTGTCAATCTATAGATTTCTTAGTTAGAAAGTGTTAGATACCAATTAACTTCATATAGCTTCAAGCATAAGAATAGCAAATCTTATTTTCCATGCATTTAAGTTTTTGTACTTATAAGAATTAATCAGAAAAATCTGTCTGCCTTTTTTAATAATTATTAATTGTCCATAAACATTCTTGAAATAGAACATTTAGGCTAATATAAAGAGTTATTTGGGCTTAGAAAATATTAAATATTGTAAGATATAACAGTTAAACAAAATTTAATATTACCACAGAATATTCTGTTTTTACAGGTTTTTTTTTTTACAGTCTATACAGAATTTGGTTTCAAATGAAATTAAAGGTTTCGCATCTAAAGTTAAAGTGTTTATACAAGTTTTGAATAAACTTGCATATTTAACAGGCTCACAAGCTTGGTAAATTTATAGATTACAAAAGCTATTTAAGTCACAAATCAGTTTATATTTATTTCATTTCTTTTTTAATCAACACTGATTTGAAGGCAGAAGAAAAAGAAAAGAAAAAGAAAAAAACCCAGGAACAATCAACAAACAAATTAATAAAATGAGTACATATATAGCATTCTAGATGTCTATATATTAAGCTTTCAACAGTTAACAGCTGATATATTTTTTTGCTCATGAATTATTATGCAAGCTTTTATGTTTCCGAAAGACTATCAGGTCATCTGACCCCAATCTTCCTGGCCTTCAAGACCTCATTCTGGATATGACCTGTTTTTCTTTGTTGAAACTACCTGATGGCCGTTTGGTTTTGCTTTTTTTGTTTGACAGTGAAAGCTGAATGACTGGAATAGTCACTTGTCAATAATCTTTTCATCCTGCAGCTATTGTTAGTTCCATTGAACTTGTTTCAAATTATACGGACCTAATACAGTGTTAAAATTTAGAAACAAGTGAGCTGAAATTGGTGCACCAGATTTGCCACGGAGTGTAACCTCAGTTATCCCAAGAGATGGGCTGGCAACAATATTTTTTTAAATTATTAGTAATTTAACATCGAGACAAATGTCTATTTAGATAAGCAGGGGCCTCCAGGTACAAGAAATTTGAATTCTTCCCTCCTCTTCTTGCCACACATATAAACTAATGTCTCAATAACTATTTCATCTTAAAGCAACCAAAAAATGAAATATCTATGCAAAGCAGTGATTTGCTTTTCGTTCATATATGTATATGGGTTTAGTAGCCTGTAAAGAGCTGGCTGCCATATTAATCTCATTAATAGTTGCAATTCTGGCTGGTGTTCTCAGATGAATATTATAAGTCATAATTTTGAGTACATACTCAGAAAATTGCAATGTATATACTTGTTAGTTCCCGTATCAGGAAATTCTAACCTTTGTAAAAAATGTTGTGGCAAATGATTATGCTTTGTTACCTTGTTGGAAATATAGCATTTTCCTCAACTTGATGCAGGTTTTTTTCATAGTGACGGCCTTTTTCGGCACAGGAAATATAGCTTCTATTAACAGGTAAACTGATCTAAACGGATGTTAAAAGCAACCATCGCAATCCCTCCATTCTGTTCCGCTTACTTGTTTCTACACTAAACAATTTAAGCAAATGCCTTTATAATTGTGTATAATATTGCATACTCTGGAATGTTTTATGTTTTATATTAATCATGATGAGGAAAGAATATGCAGGATCAGAAATTTTCTCTATCCTTAGGGAATTTTGCCAAATATTTTCTTCCATTTGTAAAGGGGAGAATACGGTAGCTGGTTTTTCTTTCATCCAATAGGAAAGTGTGTTTAGGTGATAGAGACAGTAGAGTTTTCAGGTAAAGCATTCCATTTTTTAAATACCAGGTTAGATGCTGGTAAAGTATCTTTTACGAACAATTTAAATCTGGATGAAAGCTCTGTCCTGGCATGCATTATCTTACTGAGGGAGGGGTGGAGACCTAACATTTTCCATCTCTTTCATCAGGATACTCTAATATCCCAACAATCTAAGATAGAGGGAGGGAAAGTGAGTTGTGAATTGCAGGAGTTCCATCTTATTAACTCGAAGCTCTAGCTGATATTGTATAAGTGCTTTTTGCTGTTTTCTCTGTTTTTAAATACTCAGGATAGAGTAGCATATACACGTGGTCCTCAACGGCCACAATTAAGCTGAAAATTTCTGATGCTGAGTCATTAAGTGAATTTTACCCCATTTTATGACTTTTCTTGCCACAGTTGTTAAGTGAACCATTGTAGTTCTTAAGTTAGTAACATGGTTGTTAAGTGAATCTGGCTTTTTCATTGACTCTGCTTGTCAGAGGGTTGCAAAAGGGTATCCCATGAGCCCGGGACACTGCAACTGTCATAAATATGAGGTAGTTGCTAAATGCCTGAATTTTGATCACATGACCAGGGGATGCTGCAACGATGGTGAGGGTGAAAAATAGTCATAAATCGCTTTTTTCAGTGCTGTGGTAACTTTGAACGGTCACTAAATGAACTGTTGTAGGTTGAGGATTACCTGTAGTTTGCTATGTAACAAAGTCTATTTCCGACTAGCTGATGGATGGATGGATGGATGGATGGATGGATGGATGGATAGATGATAGATAGATAGATAGATAGATAGATAGATAGATAGATAGATAGATCTGCTTATCAGGGGCCTTATCTGTTGCCAAAATGGTTGCTTATACACAGTGTTGCACTCATAATCGGAATTTCAACATGTCATTTGTGCTCTTGATAAATAAATAAAACTGCTTATCAGAGCTTTACCTCTTCACAAAATTATTGCTTCTGCACAGTATGGCAATCAGAAACCCACACAAGAAAATCTAACTGGAATGCTCCTTATGGTGCTTATCCCACAAAGCTCTCTCCCACCTAGGTTAGCCTTGTCTTGAGACATTAATGGAGCACTTGGGTACAACCATCTCTACGTGTGTTTTCTAAGATTCTTTGTGCTAAGATTTTTCCCCCCTCATGTATTATTTTTGGAAGTAAAAGTTTATACTGGAAGCTGACAATCTGCCTTTATGAAAGAAACATGTACGTGGGTGTATAAATTCAAGTGGGTCAAAACTTGGACACCAAATATGGTATTGTTGCCGATCATGGACATCATGCTGAGAACCCTAAATATAATCCTTTCCATGTGAAAAAAACAAAACAAAACCAGTAAGCTGGCTCACAATTAGCAGCCGATCATTACAAGGAGTGGGTTATGTGCCAGGTGCTTTTGTAGATATCACTTGTTTACTTACAGATCTAGGAATGACTGATAGTTATCAGTGGAAAAGGAAATGATATAAGGAAATACTTTGTGATATCAGTGGGGCTTTAAAAATATTTAAGTAACAGGTAGAAGGCTGTCATTTGTAGACTTAAAAACACTAAAGTTCAGCTCTAAAAGTAGAAGCAGTATAAACTAGCAGCGTATCTCTTTTGCTACATAATAGTGTCACATTTTTTGTGATTGAGACAAAGGACACATGCTGTTTGCTGTTTCCTTGTGGGAAGTATTGGCTACAAAAATGCACACTAATAATGTTTTGTTCTGTTCTCATTCTTAAACTCTAGCTTTGATCCAACCTCGGTATATTGCTTCTTGACTGTGTTCAGCCCTTTCCTGATGGGAGGCTTGCTATTGTGGAAGGTCAGTAATTTATACAAAATGTTATTTATTAGACTAGATAGGCCAGGGGTTTTCAACCGCTGTACTGTACACATTTATGTGCCCCAAAATATCTGCTGGTGTGCTACATCAGTAAACCACAGAAAGTGACAGGACATACTACACAACTATGTTAAGTAAAACCCCACCTGCATGATGTCATCAAAGATGGAGTGGCTTACTTTCTCTTCCCGAGTCTCGGCAGCCTGTGATGTCATGGCATTTCCGGTTTCACGACCTGGAAGTCCCACCTATGTATGAGATGTATGTAGTAAGGTCAAAACTACCAGGATAGGCTATAGTTCTACTGTACACTTGTCACTATACCTTAAAGTTAGTAAGGTTCACTTTCCAACAAATAATCTTTTAATTATTTTTCACTTGTTTCGATAATTTGTAAACCGCACAGAGTCATCTTGTACAGGAGATATGTGTTTAGAAATTTAATATAGAGAGATAGATAGGAAAGGAAAAGAAGGAAGAAAGGAAGGGAAAGAAAGAAAAGAAAAAGGAAGGAAGGAAAAAAATGCTACTAAAGAAATACACAATACTTCACATCGATCTGTATTTGCTGCTGTTACTTGTAGTAGTAATTCCAAGAAAATCTCTCTCTCTCTTACTTGTAGTAGTAATTCCAAGAAAATCTCTCTCTCTCTCTCTCTCTCTCTCTCTCTCTCTCCCTCCCTCCCTCCCTCCCTCCCTCCATCTTCAACACCCATAGCATAATTTCCAGAGTAAATAAGATGAGGCCATCCTGGAAAAAAAAGAAAAAAATGCATGGAACTCAGGAATACAATCCTTTAAATCTTATACTGTCAATATAATACAAAATGGATATAGTCAATCTTAAATTGTATTCTGGGAATTTGTTGTAGCAGAAATCATCAAAGTTTCCACAATGAAAATAGCACGGGGGGTTGTTCTGGGACAGGGGAATGTGTTTACCAGTAGTGATTTTCCATATCACTAAACAGCTTCTTAGCATATATATGGAAAATGTTCCTTGAAAGTAGATAATTCATTTTAAAAAATGTCATTTTGTAGTCTGTTTATTTTAATAACCTTTTAAAAAGGTTTTAACATAATGCAGCAGCCCGTATTTGCCATTGACTGAAAATAATGTTTAGTTTAAGCTTAAACAACACCGAACTGTTTAAAAAGAACATATTGCAGTCTCTTGCATTCAACCTGGTGATCTTTGGCTCTCTAAAGTATTAGCAATGTTAATTTGGGCATCCTTCCTTTTTGTTTTGTTTTGTGGGAACCTGCCATCAGCTTAACAGAATTGTGTTTATTGAACAGATTGCAATCCCCTTTGTTCTTGTGTCATGTGCATTTGAAGCTATTCAAGTCACAACCCAGCTATCATCTAAAAGGTAAAGATTTTCTGCGCGTGCACTTTACTGAATCAGAAGTTGTTTTTGGATTTGTAATGGGGAAAAAATTAAACTGCATGTAGGCTACTACTTTGTAGATTCCATCATTAGATACAGTTCCCGAGTTTTCCCCCCTTCAGAAAGTGTTCAGTTTTTGTTAGATTTCTCTTTATGTGTGTCAATATATATATACACACACACACACATGCATACACATACATACACATATTAAGTTAAGATTTCAGTCTCTGCATAATGAACAGGGATTGATACCTTTTTAGTTCCACTCAAATGCTGAAAATTCACACATAACAGAATGAAATGTTTTTTCTTATCAAAGTAGGGTTTTTAAATCATTCACGAGAGTTTAAATGCAGGCAAGCATGCCCGTCTACACTGATGAAGTAACATATTTTGCAGGCAAATGCATACAGAGGACAATACTTGAATATCACTGTCCAGTTAATAGGATTCTTCTCTTTCCTCATCTCTAAAGAGAGAGGGGAATAGTCTGAATGACTGAAGAATTGCAGTTTGGCATACATATACCTCCATGTGGAGAGTCTGCATCAATGATTTAAGTTATGTCTTGGAGAAGAAAAATGCAGATCAGCTCCCCCTCTGTGCGGTGGCTGTTCCTGCTGAGTAGGTAAATGTTTGAACCTAGCTGTAAAACTGAAACTTACCACATTCCAAAGCAAGAAATTTCAGTGCCATTATTAGTGCAATCAATAGAAATTGATTTTGATTTTGATGTTCTGTGCATCTGTCAAATCTATGCGGAAGAGAGGCACAGATCCTCACTGCTGATCAGATTCCATCAGTGATTTTGATGGTATCCAACTGAGTTATCTGTTTTGCAAAAAGAAGTAAGCTGCTAGCATGAAATGTTTTTTTTTTTTTTTTTTGGCTTGTTCTAATGGCCTTCTAAGGTAAAGTTAATTTACAAAACTGATCTTGATAATATGACCAGATATAATTTGTTAGAGGCTGTTGTGATCATCTTGCATTAATGGCATAATGCAGCACATTTTAATGAGTTTTCACACTCTAACTGATAGCACTTTTATAATTCTTACAAATTAAATTATTACAGTTAATGACCCATTTCTTTTTTGAGCTACTAGGTCAGCTACGTGCAGCATTTTAGCACAATTCTGGAGTAAAACTGTTGGTGATTTAGAACAGTATCCACATTCAAAATATTTCAATTATTTAATGAAAAGATAATGATAATGCAAATGTCTTTAGTGGTATTTGCGTTTACTTGTTCCTTGTCCTTTTTTTTCCATTGAAAAGTGCTTTCCCAAACAAATATGGTCTTGGGTACCTCAGATACAGGTAACTTAAGCCTAAGGCGAAAGGGAAATAAATACTCAATGATCTTTGAACCTGGTGGGCATCATTTTAGGTCTTCATGACTGAGACACAGTGATAAATATTAGTAAATGTTCTTGTGCAGGACCTATCATCGTCAACCACAATTGAGCCCAAAATTTCTGTTGTTTGTTGTGAGTTTTGCCCCATTTTACAACCTTTTTTGCCTCAGTTATTAAGTGAACGAACGAAACCCAACAAACATTTGTGTTTGCAAGCTGTGCAATTCTACATCTGGTAGTCAAGAGATATGTGAAAGTGCAGCAGAGGGGCATTGTTGGGCAAAGCTTCCTTGTGTGGGGTATGTCACAGAAACAGCATCCTGAGAAACAGCTTTAAGCCAATTTCTAGTCTGTAAGGATGAGTAGATAATATTGAATAAATGGAGAAAAATGGTTGTAATTCTGAATTAAGACTAGGGAATCATGACTATCAAGGTTATTAAATAGCCCAAGAGAAAGAGAAGAATCAGGTGTAATTTGGTATTTCTTGTGAAAGGATTGGAATATAAACGTCATAAATCTTTGTGAATTTTTGGAAACTTGAATTGTACAATTTAGTAGGGTTCCATCAATCAAGAGACTGTCAGGTCCCTGAAAAAGGTAGGTAACAGTTACATAATACATTATGTAGAGGAGTCATTAAGGGTAAAAAAAACCAGGTCTAATTTTGACAAGTCATACAAATCAGCCTGCTTTAAGTCTGCTCATTTCCCTGCCTGCCCCATGTTTGATTCTTAACATGCAGTATGGCGGTCCTGGTATTCTTAAGACATGTAATACTGAGAAAATAGATCAAAAGAGAATTACACTGTACCTCAGAACACATCTTGTGTTCTTCGAAGCTTTATTGAACTGTGAATTATTGTCCTTTTCTGACACACTGTTTGTTTTTCCCCCCTTAGGCTTTTTCTCATTGTTCTTGTGATTTCAGACATTATGGCTTTGGTAAGCTACTATTGGACATTTTGTACAAATAAGATCAAAACCCAGAGAGCTTTGCTAATTCAATCAAGGGATATCTGAATTAGCTTCAGACATCAAAGTTCCTTGAATTAGGTCAGTGAGTTGACTTTGAAACCCTGCATAAATTGCAGAAAGGCCCTCTCTCCACACTATAATTCTTTGAAATAATTTAATGAATGATCAAAAAAGTTGTAAGTCTATATTATTACTTCAATTCTTTTATGGGGCCATTAAATCAGCTATTACTAAGTTTTCATCTACTTCATACGGAATTTTAAAGTCTGAGTAAAAGAAAATACCAGATGCATCTGCATGCCTACTTTAATTTTTTAAATCTTTTCTTCCCTGCTTTCAGAACAAAAAAGAGTCTCCTTTCATTTTTCAAAGGAAATATTAAATTATCAAGCAAGATGTAATGAGAAATACCACCCAGGATGGGTTGAATAAGCCAATCTTTGTACATGGTGGGAGATTTGGGTGGGTGGATGAGGATCCATCAAATAAGTTAAACAATTATAATAAACATAGCATTTTAAAAAATTAAAAACTATGCTCACCCTAAAGTGTATAAAATACTTGTAGTGTATACACATATCACAACTTGGCTAGAAGGGAGGTGTCTTTGGAACAGCAATGGAAGAGGTTTATGCTTTCAAATCCATGTTCCCTTATTTCCCCCAATGGAATTAGTTAAATATGACACACCAGCTGTTGTTCTATAGCATCATAACTAAATTGTTTTGATTGAACTGGTCCAGGAAATCTCATAAATAGGAGGAAATATTTGCAAATCCCAGGCTACTTATTGTTGAGTCCAAAATAAAGGTGAAAACTTTTTAAACTGAGCTTAACTCTTGGCTACATTTGTGTAGTTTTCTTGGCAGCAATATAGAAAGGTCTTGCCATTTCCTTCTCCATGTGTATATGTGTGTGCTTGTTTGTTTCAAATTCTCAATATATCGTACAGGCATGGGATTTCCTGGTGTTATTCCACCTTACTTTATTCTGGAAGCAACTATGGTTGATTAGGTATTCCTACCTAATCTGTAGAATCCTCTTAAATGCCATCTCCTAAGTTGTACTTGTCAGCATTTTAAAATGGATAAACACATAATAGCTGTGTATAGCTAGATAACTACCTTAAACTGAATCAGAACTTTTGTCCATCTGGCCAAATGGTGAAATAAGTTAATAGAATTATTTTTATCTCCGTTGCTTTCTCTTCTACTAGTACAACTGCTGATGGTGAAGAGGAGACTGCTTTGCCATGTTCATGAGATGGGGGGAAATTTACACTAATTTTTAGACAATAAACTGTAATCACTATCTCTATGGCTTCTTCAGCAAGCCTGCTTTTCAGTAATGGTATCATTTAGGTTGATCATTAATGCAGCTATAGGGAATTAAAGCTGAAAGAGAAGCGACTAGCCAAAGACCATTTAGAAGGCTGAAGCAGATGTTGAGAGATTGTTCCAGTAAGAATCATCCCATCTCTGCAAGCAGTAGCCAGCAAAATAGAAAGGAAAAGCCGGACATGATTACACTTTGGGTCATTTTTAGCAAACATGATAAAGAAAAGACAGGTTGGTTGCTCTTAGCAGCAGCTGTCTATTTGTGGAAATATCTGTCTGGGCTCAAGGAGTTCATAACCAAATACAAAATCTACATTAATGTATTCAGTTTCCTTTTGGAGATGGGAGTGTGTGTTTTTAAAACCAGTCTTCACTTGTAGCAATAGTCTGTACTGGTCCTACAGGGTTTTTGGGCAGGGCAAGATTTCAGAAATATTTGCCCTTGCCTTCTTCCTAGAGCTAAGAGAGAATGACCGGCCTAAAATCACCCATCTGGTTTTGTGCCTAAGCCAGAACTAGAACTCACAGTCTTTAACCACTATACCGGATTGCTACCCATTCACTTTCTTAGTGAATGTGAATCAGGCATACAGTATGTACTTGTTTTTATTTACTGTAAATACCATCTTTTGGAGACTGGCCTTTCTTTTCTTTTCTTTTTACAGATAGATTTATATGTCCTGAACAATTGACTTCAAATATACATTTCAATTTTGTCACTTTTATTGGGCATGTACTATACATGTACTGAATATAGTTATGTTTTTTCCCCCCCAGCACTTCTTCTTTCTGGTTAAAGATTACGGAAGCTGGCTAGACATTGGAACAAGGTACAAACCATTGGTTAGCTCCTCCCGCGACTTCTTCTTGCACCCCAATGTTACAAATATGTGTGGTTTACCCGTCCAACAGTTTGACCAAGAATGTTTCGTAAAATGCTGGTGGTTCCGCAAAATGCTGCTTGTTGTTTCTAGGCAAAGAAAATGGATTCATTACTTTCCAATTTCTTACCCCTGTTTTATTTTTTCCTTCCTTTGTGTGTGTGTGTGTGTGTGTGTGTGTGTGTGTGTATTTGCCTTATTAAGTTGGGTAATAGTATGTTGCTTGGGCAGCAATTCTCAAGCTGTGAGCCATGATCTCCTGTTTAAAAGAAAGTAGACCCAACATTGACAATAGGGAGAAATAATAAGTGAGCTAAGTCAGTGATCCCCAACCTTTTTGACGCCGCGGCCCGGTACCGGCATCAACTGGGCGCCGCCATCTTTTTTTGACGAAAAAGCTTTCTACCCGGAAAAGCTCACCGGAAGCACTTTTTTACCAAAAAAAGATGGCGGCGCCCAGCAACCAGCGGCCCGGTAAGACTTGTTCCGTGGACTGGTACCGGTCTGCGGATCGGCGGTTGGGGACCCCTGAGCTAAGTGACTTGCAGAAACATATGCAATCCTAAGAAAGAGGAAAGCATGATAAATTTAAAGTAACCCTGATTTTATTTGCATACGATAAGGCTTAGAGAAGCTTACAAGATTGATATCAACTCTTTGAGGTTGACCAGGTCAAGAAACAGGTATGGCAGGGATTCCAAGAATGTTCTTTATTGTTGTAGGGTAGCACAAAGGAAATTTGAAATCCTATATAATTGATACCCTTAATTTATTTCTATCTTCGCTGCTGTCAATGTCACTTTCTTTTTCCCTCTAGATTATTTTTAATTTATGTAACACTTATTTTGAAGTGCTACATTTTGAGTGCTACATCTTTTTAAAAGACAGATAATCTGCAGTCTTAAACTGGAACTCCAAAGCATGGGAACACATATATTTGAGCACTTTCCCTTGTAAAACAACTTCTGCCTCTGAAAAACTAGTGCTTTGGCTAATTTACTCTTCTTCCCATCTATTTTCAGGCTTTGTTTTGTTATTTTAGCAGTGTCATACAGATTGTGTATGGAGAAGTGTTCAGATGTACAATCTCATGCTAGCATGAAAAGTATACTTCTGGGAGAGTTTTGCTAAATGATTTTTCTGAATTTAGAAAAATGCCTTTCAATATAGATATATTTTTTTAAATTCACTGATGCATCTAATTCCTTGTCTTCTCATATTCATACATCCACATATGCCATTTCTGTTAATCTGCAGATTTTTTTTATTTACATTCAGCAATATAAAGAATGTGCATATTCAGTATTTTTTTTTTTGAAAAATTTATTGATTTTTAAAAACAAACATAAACAAACAAAACATGAAACATAAAAACATAAAACATCTTTTTTGAAAGCAGCTTGATCCCGGGTTACATCTCTTCGTACAGACACAAATTCAAGTTCATGCTCATTTTTATATACCATTCTACATTTTCTGTATAGCTTCTCCCCTATTTTAACTTTCTTAATTTTATTTTATTTATTTCATCTCAATTCAGATCATTATACTTATATTCTTTGTCTGTCCTGTTTCAGCTGTCTATTATCTTTTCTCATTAAACAAAATTTCTCCTGTAATCACTAATTAGAGCAGTGGTCCCCAACCTTTTTTGTGCCAGGGACCAGTTTCACTTAGAAACACTTTTTCAAGGACCGGGGTGTGTGTGTGTGTCCGAGTTTGGTGGTTTGCTTTCAGACGTTTCATTATCTGACTAGGTGACATCTGATGTTGTTACCTAGTCAGGTAATAAAACGTCTGCCAGCAAACCACCAAGTTCAGGGAACGCCAATGCCTCCTCATTGCAACCCTGAGCAACAGATAGTCCCTGCAGGACGGCTGAGAAGCCTCGCCTCTCGCCCCTGCCTTCCTCAGCCCCATCCCTCAGGTGTCTCCCTCCCTCCCTCAGCCTCATCCCTCAGGTGTCTCCCTCCCTCCCTCAGCCTCATCCCTCAGGTGTCTGCCTCGTTCCTCTCTCAGTCGCTCTCTCACTCCTCCACCAGCCCAGGAAGAAACTGCTTCAAAGAAGCCGGCAGGGTGGCTTTTCCTGTCGGCGCAGCTTCCCCAAAGCGCCCGTTCACCCCCACCCCGCCGCCCACGGTTCAATCTTCCGTTCTGCCTGCCTGCCTTCGTTTCTGGTGGTTTCGGAACGCAGCTTCTCCGAAGCGCCCGTTCACCCCCGCCCCACCCCGCCGCCCGCGGTTCAATCCAGTGCTCCGTTCTGCCTGCCTGCC